AATTACAACCGTTAAAATACCTCAAATAATTTTAATAACTTAGGTGACCTTTGAAATCTCGCCAAAGAGGTTTAACTTACCAACCACTAAGTAATGGCCACGGTTAATTTGGAAACCCCCCTTGGTCAAATATTCAAGAACTACCAAAGATGCCTACGCCCGAAGTTATATACCCAAGCTGTGACATCCGTGGTCAGCCCCAAGGGAACGATCTGCCAGGGGTACGTAACTTCCCTGCGTGCCACCCGCACATCCACCCTTATTCCAAAACTAAATACCAATAAGGTTTCAAATAATCCCCGTACCAACTTAGGGCTTCGCGACACAATTTTTACTTAAAAGTTATTAAAAACCAGGGCTCACCCTGAATACCCGGTATTAAAATTTATAAAAAAATTATTTACACAATTCTAAAATTCGTGCAATTGAACAGAATACTCAATAGGGATGTTTAGGTCACTTTTCAGAAAGAATTTCAGAAAAATAAGGTGTAAATAATCCTGTAAAGTTCCCAGCAATTTTTTTTTTTGACACAGATTCGTCACATTTCCTTACATTAATTCCATGCTTAAATTTATAGATCAAATCCATAATCTAAAAATTTATCATGAAACTAGACTTCTCAAATTTCATCTTTTAGTTAGAAATTACCAGATTTGGCTTAGTATAGAATTTTAAATAAATTTTCAAATACATAGTAAAATCTGTCTCACAGTTTCAGATTTAATTAAAAATTTGTATAAATTCGTAGAAAGCTCAAAAATTGTTTCCAAAATTCCTGGATGAACTAGACATCATTATCAACAACTTTGTAGAAGAATCGAAATTTTGAGTATAAAATTGTCTAAAAATTTGGGCAAACATGCTGGCAGATTCAAAACAGATTATTCTCAACACAGTTTCAGATTTAGTAAAAATATTTTTATAAATTCATAGAAAACTCAAAAATTGTTGCCAAAATTCCTGGATAAACTAGATATCATTATCAACAACTTTGTAGAATAAATCATCTCGAAAGTTTGAGTATAAAATTGTCTAAAAATTCGGGAAAACATGTTGACAGATTCAAAACAGATTATTCTCAACCCAGTTTCAGATTTAGTAAAAATATTTGTATAAATTCATAGAAAGCTCAAAAATTGCTGCCAAAATTTGTGGATGAACTAGACATCATTATCAACAACTTTGTAGCAGAAATCATCTCGAAATTTTGAGTATAAAATTGTCTAAAAATTCAGGCAACATTCTGGCAGATTCAAAACAGATTAATTATTTTCAATCTTCTCTTTAAATGTATAAACTACACATGCAAGCTTATTTCTTTACAATAATAAGATGATTTTAAGACTATCAACGTCTTCAAACACTTGATATACACATCACAAAATTCCTACACATATATATATAATTTCTATTTATGAGTAGTCATTTTGATCACAAGGACATAATCTGAAAACTTCACTAATAAAAAGAATTGAGAGGGTTAATATATAAAAAAAAATGAGAGGATTGAGAGGGTTTTCTTACTTAATAGTAGGATTCAAATGGGTGATGAAGTGGTAGAAAAATTTTGCTTTCTTAAACTTCCCCTCTTTTTTTCCTTCTACTGAATCTCTCATCACCCGTATATACTCCTTCTTTTGTTTGTATGTGTCCATGAACTAAGTCTACCTATGATATATATAGGCAGATCTCTCTCTCTCTCTCTCTCTCTCTCTCTCTCTCTCTCTCTCTTTTCATGATGTTATTCCCTGCCATAAACTTCACTCTACCCAAAAGCCATCATTTGGTGGAATTCACCAAGCCAACATGCAAGTTAGCATGTGGCATACCCTTGCCACCGAATCTGATTCTCCTATATATATATATATATATATATATTTTTAATAATAATTTATAACAACAATTATTGAACATCAATACCTTATTATTCTTAGTAAGGTCTTTGTTAGTGATAGAAGTGGGTTAATTTAAAACTAACTTTTTTTTTTCACTATTCTATATTTTAGGTAGGTTCTGAATAACATTAATTAATTAATTAATCTATTTATTTTCTTTTAAGAATAATTTAAATATGGGTTTTCACAATGTTATAATCATTAACAATTATTTTGATAAATTATTTATTTTCAATTACCAGGTCCACAATGCACTTACGTAACTTTATACAATCTTTTTGAATATATATTTATTTGTATTATATTAGTCAAATTTTACTTTGTACAATTATGATTTCATATGCGTTTTTTCAGAACTAAACCTCTCTCTCTCTTTCTCTCTCTCTCTCTCTCTCTCTCTCTCTCTCATAGCAACCATTGCAGCTGAACCAATCCCTACAAAGAAAGGGAGGTTCAGAAAGGCATTGAAGCAAACAAACCCATCATCAGATGAGGCCAACATTTTGGCCTCAATGAGCTCCCAACCCTCTCCGACTCCGATTACGCCGCCATTGTAAGACTCTGCTAGGAAAGAAAACCATGAGAGCCTCTTACAGCCTCAATCCACCAAGAAAACTAAGAAAGCAGGGACAAAAGCGAAATAACAACAACAACAAAATCAATCTTTTGAGAAAGAGTTGCAAGAAATGCAAGAAAAGCTTCAACAGTTGAGGATTGAGAAGGAGCAAACTGAAGAGCTATTGAAGGCACGAGAGGAGACTTTGAAGATGAAGAAGGAGAAGCTTGAAACAAGGGGGAAAGAGCAAGAAAAGCTTCAGACGGAGCTCAAGAAGTTGCAGAAAATAAAAGAGTTCAAACCCACCATGGTTCGTTTTTCTTGATTTCCTTTTTTTTGTCCCTCACTTCAATACAATGTTTGGTTGCTGAGAAAATGTAGGGGAAATGAAGGAACTTTAGAAATGGGAATTTTCCTACTTTTTCTCAGAAATTGAACAGAGTTGATGATTCTTGATTTCTATTTCCCTAATTTTTAAAACGCTGTTTGGTTATTGAAGAAATGTTGAAAAGTTTACAGAGTTTAAAAAGGGAAATTGAAAAGAACCCAGATTGATGGTTCAGAGGTGATGATTCTTGTTTTAGTTTTCCCTCTAAATTTTCCTATATTTTCTCAAAAACATAACAAAGTTTATGATTCTTGATTTCTGGTTCTACTATTTGATGGGTTTTATTTTTTTTTTCTCTAGACATTCCTTATTGTTCAATCTCTGAGAGAGAAAGAACTAAAAAAGAAAGACAAGAAGAAGAAAGGTTGCCCTCAAATGAAAAGACCATCTCCACCTTATGTCCTATGGTGCAAAGATCAATGGAATGTGGTAATAATATATATAAAAGATGTAAAGATCAAAAATCTGAAAGTGGAGTTAGCAAGAAAGGCCATGGATGGACAGAGAATGATGAAAGAGAGACAAAGTCTAACAATGCAGGTGAAGCATCTAAAAGAGTAGATGGAAAATAAAAACCAAGACATTGATCACTTGAGACAAGAAAAAGAGGGTCTACAGGAGAGAATTTCCAAGTTGGAGAAGACATTAGTTGAGCAAGAGGAGGAGTCATTTACTCTCCAGAAGCAAGTTGAGGATGTCAGGAATAAAGCGTCCGCTCAAATTATAGCCTTAACGACGCAGGTTAACAATCTGCAACAGGAATTGGATTTCACTCACTCCGTGAAAAGCCAATTGGTGTTGCAGATTGAGAAAGGTAAACAAGAATCTTCAGAAAGCTTAACTCAAGTGAAGAATAAGAATTTCGAGCTAGCAAACAAGGTTGCGGATCAGCAAAGAATGCTAAAAAAATAGGAGGATGCTTTCAATGAATTGAGAGAAGAGCACAAATGACTCAAAGTTTTGTTTCAAGAATGCAAGGCAAACCTTGAAGTTGCTGAAAGGAAGATTGAAGAAATGGAAGAAGAGTTGCAAAAAAGTATTGAATCGAAACATAAGAAAGTTGATGAATTGGAAGAAACAATCGAAGACTTGAAAACATATCTGGAAATAAAAGAAGATGAAGTGAGCTTGCTGATTGAGAATCTCAGCACGATTGAGGAAGACTACGGGCACTTTGAGAGCCGTGTTTATGAAATCCTGAACGAGTTTCAAGTTGCAAAGAACATAGTCAATGAGACAAATACCAAGAAACAACAACTAAAGAATGAGCTCAGTGTCCTGATCGAGCAACTGGGAGATAAGAAATAAAAGGAATTGGTCTTGAGAGAAAGGGTTAGAGAATTGGAAGCAAAGTTGCACAACACTGAGAATGAGAAGCAGTAGAATTTGATCAAAAAATTAGTAAAATGCTTGAAGAGAAGATAGGGGAATTGAAGAAGACGATTAGTGAAAAGGAAGAGGTGATATTGGGGCTCGGGGAAGAGATGAGGGAGGTGATAAGACAACTGTGTATAGTGATCAATTATCACTGGAGTCGATGCAAAGATCTCAAGAAAATGCTCTCAAAGGTATTATCTGGTAGAAGGCCAATAGCAACTTGAGTGTTCTAAATTTTTATTCTTTTATTTTTGTATTTATGTCTATTATTATGGTTTTTGTAGTTGATTGTGACATTTGATTGGTTTATTTTGTTGGTGGAACTTTTACCAGTTTAGATTTTGTATAGGGAATTAGTGTTGTTTTTGTGTATTTTTTTTTATGAATGCAATCTAAACTTTTAGACAAAACTGACAACAAAAAAAAAATACACAAAAACAACACTAATTCCCTATACAAAATCTAAACTGGTAAAAGTTCCACCAACAAAATAAACCAATCAAATGTCACAATCAACTACAAAAACCATAATAATAGACATAAATGCAAAAATAAAAGAATTAAAATTTAGAACACTCAAGTTGCTATTGGCCTTTTACCAAATAATACCTTTGATCTTTGCATCGACTCCGGTGATAATCGATCCATATACACAGTTGTCTTATCGCCTCCCTCTTCTCTTCCCCGAGCCCCAATATCCCCTCCTCCTTTTCACTCATCGTCTTCTCCAATTCCCCCATCTTCTCTTCAAGCATTTTACTAATTTTTTGATCGAATTCTACTACTTCTCATCCTCAGTATTGTGCAACTTTGCTTCCAATTCTCTGACCCTTTCTCTTAAGACCAATTCATTTTCTTTCTTATCTCGCAGTTGCTCGATCAAGACACTGAGCCCATCCTTTAGTTGTTGTTTCTCAGTATTTGTCTCATTGACCTTGTTCTTTGCAACTTGAAACTCGTTCAGGATTTCATAAACACGGCTCTCAAAGTGCCCGTAGTCTTCCTCAATCGTGCTGAGATTCTCAATCAGCAAGCTCACTTCATCTTCTTTTATTTCCAGATATGTTTTCAAGTCTTCGATTGTTTCTTCCAATTCATCAACTTTCTTATGTTTCGATTCAATACTTTTTTGCAACTCTTCTTCCATTTCTTCAATCTTCCTTTCAGCAACTTCAAGGTTTGCCTTGCATTCTTGAAACAAAACTTCGAGTCGTTTGTGCTCTTCTCTCAATTCATTGAAAGCATCCTCCTGTTCTTTTAGCATTCTTTGCTGATCCGCAACCTTGTTTGCTAGCTTGGAATTCTTATTCTCCACTTGAGTCAAGCTTTTTGAAGATTCTTGTTTACCTCTTTTAATCTGCAACACCAATTGGCTTTTCACGGAGTGAGTGGAATCCAACTTCTATTGCAGATTGTTAACCTGCGTCGTTAAGGCCATAATTTGAGCGGACGCTTCATTCACGACATCCTCAACTTGCTTTTGGAGAGTAAATGACTCCTCCTCTTGCTCAACTAATGTCTTCTCTAACTTGGAAATTCTCTCTTGCAGACCCTCTTCTTCTTGTCTCAAGTGATCAATGTCTTGGTTTTTATTTTCCATCTACTCTTCTAGATGCTTCACCTGCATTGTTAGACTTTGTCTCTCTTCTATCATTCTCTGTCCATCCATGGCCTTTCTTGCTAACTCCTCTTTCAGATTTTTGATCTTTACATCTTTTATGTATATTATTACCTCATTCCATTGATCTTTGCACCATAGGATATAAGGTGGAGATGGTCTTTTCATTTGAGGGCAACCTTTCTTCTTCTTGTCTTTCTTTTTTAGCTCTTTCTCTCTCAGAGATTGAGCAATAAGAAATGTCTAGAGAAAAATAAATAAAACCCATTGTAGACGTCCCGAACACCTGGGAAGATGAGTCCCGTTCTGTTCATTTGTGGGTCTACTACAGTTCGGACTCTCAAATTGTCACGGTTCTTAATATGAACCAAAGAGTCCAAATCCGGCAAATCATTTTGAGAAAAACAGATTTTTTTAGAAAAGAAGTGCCAAACATGGACTGCTTTGCCAGATACAGAGTCGCCATCTAAATATTTTATTTTTGAGAAATTTAGGAAACCCTGTCCGTCATCACCAAAGTTGCCTCGGCTCGGGAACTTGGGTACGATTGAGGAAGGTCAGCTATGAGCACCACCTCTCGCCCGATCAAAGATCGGCCTCTACTAACCGTGATATCTTGTTTTGAAAGCACTATGTGTTCCTATTCCGGTTGTTAGCCTAGAATTACTATGTTATGCGCACAGCAAAACAAGTATAGACTAAATTGCCTAAGTCAGAACAAAGCATTGCATTTCCGTTTGTTTGGAAAATGGTTTGAATTTTGCTACTCGCGAGTAGGCTAAAATACGGATTTCAATGAATTATCCCAATTCAAACAATCCAACCTTCACCCACAGGCACTCAAGAAATTATATCATGTAAGCAACTAGCCTCATGGTAAGCATGCTGTCATGTTAACATTCACACTCATGCGAGATGCTAAAGCATAAATGCTCACCTAGTACTCCGTGCCAAAACAATAAACTAATTAGCAATCAATGTATGATCCAAGTCTATGTTAAGTGCCTAATGCAACGTATACAGAATGCAATTAGGATAGGCTCGGCTAATCCTAGGATGGCATGTGAAATGCAACCATTTGATGCACGTATTCAAGTTGGATTTGAAATACTTATGCAGCTAGCATGATGCGCTAAGCCTGGTGCATGCAATACTGATGAATGATGCACGCATGCATAGCATAAAGTATTCTAAATTAAGTATGCCCTAATACTAACCATCAAAGCATGTAAGTAAAAAGGAGAAAGAAGTGGGGGTTGGAAAACCCCCACACTTATTACAAATTCGCCCTCGCTCGAAGGGACCAAAAGAATAATACAGATTTAACTAACCTACAAGCTAATTAAATATTATAGACAATTAACTAGTTAAGCAAATTAACTAATCTAATAAAACAGTAAACAGCCTCGGGAAGAGGGCCCAATGCAATGCATACTCGGTTCCGTTCGGAAGTCCACTGCCATGCACAAGTTGCCTCTGTTTTTACTGTTTGGCACCTATGAAAATTGCACAAACTCCAAGGTTGCTTCTCTGGGTGCTGTGGAACACCACCGGCCATGAGGAATGGTCACCGGCCACGGGGAATGGTCATCGACCACCTGTGGAGAGATCGGCCACAAATTGTTGGTCGATCGGCACTGTATGTAGCCGGCCGGCCAAAACTCTCTACAGAACCTGTTTTGACAGCAGCAGAGGGCAAAACAAGGTATGGCAATGCATTCCAAGCAAATGTGTGCACCAACACATCCCTTATCATGTTTGTGACTCAAAGGGACATGGTTCTCGATTCTCGGACCACCAATCGCGCATTTCAATGCGTGATGGCCCAAGAAACCAAGTATGCACTTTGATTTCAAATAGGATGCACATCAAACAAACAAGTGAGGCTCAACCTCTATCATACTCAATTCAAGAGGCAAAGCATGCATGCCAATGCAATGCAACCTAGGCATGCGAACTAAGTATGCAACATGACAATGCAAACAAGCATATAAGACATGCGACAATCATGCTAATGACAAGTATGTGAGATGCAATGTGGATGGTCAAGCATGCAAGCAAGCATGTGACTTCATTCAATCATGCAACAACACATGGGGTAAACATGTAGCAACATGTTAAACAACCTAAACATGCAACAACACACATGGTAAGCATGCACCAACACATAAAGGGTGGACTTAAACCAATTTGGGCAGCCCTCAACTAGGCCCAAAACAGTGGCCAATGCTAAGGAAATGGGGGCCAAATGCACATACAAGCATGCATGCAAACATGGTCCATCACTTAGGCATCAAAGAGCAACTTCTAAGCACACTTAAAAGAGGCTAAACATGGGCATATGGCAAGCAATATAAGCTCTGAAAATCACATGAGGATGGTGCCAAACCAACCTAAACCAAGCAATCAAAGCATGCTAACAAGCCCAAAGCTTGAGGCCAACCAAAGGGCTCAAACCATGGCCATGCCAACCAAGCCTCAAAGGGCCAAGGGGACTCCAAATAGCCCCAATGCAGGTCTAAACAAGACCAAAGACACACCTAGATGGCGTCTAAATGGTTTATTATGAATTTCACAATAACACAGATGATGTGCCCACCTGCAGCCATCATACCACACCAGTTGAAATTGCTAGGAATATGGCGGAAACGGTGAACTATGTGCAGTTTGCTGACAATTTTGCTGACAATGACATGTATGTGTAGACGTCCCCGAACGCCCCGGGAGGATGAGTCCCGTTCTGTTTGTTTTGGGCTCACTACAGTTCGGACTCTCAAATCGTCATGGATCTTAATCTGAACCAAAGAGTCCAAATCTGGCA